TATCATAATCTATTTGCTTTATAAGTTGGGAGAGTGTAAATCCAAATAGGCAGGAATTTGTCCTCAGACTTCGAAGGCATTGATCCACCATATTTTGTCATCCAGATTTGCTGATGAGAAGTCTAATACAAACATAATTCTTATTTCTAAGTGAAACTTTTTTGGTTTCCCTGAAACTTTTAAGAATTTCTCTTTACTCTTGAGGTTATGAAACCTCAGTGCTATGCCATGGTGTGGGTCTTTTTCACTTGACCTTCTGTTCTGCCTTTCAATATAAGGACTGAAGTTCCAAAATAGCCACTTATTTCATTTTAATAATCCACTGCCCCCTCCCTAAACTTTTTTCACTTTCTAAAACTGTTAATCTGCTTCTAGACCCCTATGTTTATCTTTGGTCACTTTCATCTTTTCTCTCACGTTCTCTTTGAGTTCTACTTCCAGGAAAATTTTCTTTCCAGCATCTTCTAATCCTATTAATTACTTTTTGGATTTAAATATTCTTAATTTTTAAAAACTTTATTGTTTTGATAACTCCTGTTTCATTTTCTGTTGTCTTATTAATGCAATTTCTCCAGAAATCTTTTTAACCAGTTTTTGCCACTTACAACACAGCATTATCTCATATCCTAAAAATCTTGAAAAACATAATTTTTTTTTTTTTTTTAAAGATGACCGGTAAGGGGATCTTAACCCTTGACTTGGTGTTGTCAGCACCACGCTCACCCAGTGAGCTAACCGGCCATCCCTATATGGGATCCGAACCCGTGGCCTTGGTGTTATCAGCACCACACTCTCCCGAGTGAGCCACGGGCCGGCCCTTGAAAAACATAATTTTAATATTTACATAGTGCTCCACCAAAAGATCAAAATGTACCAAAGATTTAAAGCAGCATTAGCCATCATCCGATTTGTATTTTCAATGTTCAGCCTACAAGTAGTGGGAAGAATGAATTGAAGCAGATTAGAGATCAAGTCTGTAATCTAGTGAGAAATGATGAAAGTCATATCTAAGGCAGTAGTTGTGGGGTTAAGGTAGTAGTTGTGGGGTAAAGGCAAAATTTGGACAGCTAAAAGATTTTAAGAGATAGGGGGCCAGCCCGGTGGCGCACTGCTACAGTGCGCCGCTTGGGAGCGCGGCGGCGCTCCCGCGGCGGCGTCAGCTCACCCCG